AAACACCGCATAGAGAAGTCATTTCCCTACCAATGATATCAAAATTAATTAGAATTAGGTTCAAAAATGTTCTTCTATTATAATAGCTCAGCACATCTTTGAATGTAGTTGAGTTCATTACAGACAGTGAATTTGTTGAGGACTTACGACTATATAAGCAGGTCACATACCATAGTATGTTAGTTATATATACATTGTACAAGCAGTAATTGAATAGAATGGAACACCATTCTTTCCTAATTACCTTATTGCAACTAAAAGAAATGCTATTTAAGTCACAGTATCCAATGTTCATGCTCAAGTCTCTAATTTTATTCACACATAAATCACATTTGTAGAAACAAACCAAGTTTAGCTGAAATTTTAATTCTGTAAATTAAATGGAGTCTCATTTTGAAAAAAAAACTGAACAATAATTGAATAAAACCATTTTTGTAAAATTTTTTTGTTTAATTAAAACAAAATCGAATATAATATTTCGATTTATTAATTTAATACATTCTTGTAGTAAATTAGATTTGTTTTTTAATTGACTTTTCCCTCTAATTTCTATTAAACGTGGTTTTTATTGAAAAACATGAATCAATTAATTTTAATACATATTTTAGATCGTCTAAATATATATTCATAATTATTGTTTGTAACCAAATTTTAATTAAAGTTGTTAATAAATAGAGTTCACCTTACAAACACAAATACTACAAAGTGAGAAGGAAAATATGCGAATTTCATATACATATATAATATTAAAAAGAAATTACATTTCATAACATAATCATTAATACATTATTTAAGAATTGTTATAAACTTTACTATACTTTAATTAAGTTAATTAAGTTTTTTTTAGAAATAAAAATAAATTATAATAATGCATCGATAATATCAACAAGAACAACTGCAGATAGAAGTACAGAAGGCCTCAAGTTGGCAGACAAATTGTGTAGATTAAAAAAATAATTAAATTTATTTATATGTGAACGTAGTGAATTTATTGGAGAAGAAAATCCAATTATAATAAAAATAAATACAAAAATATAATTACAATAATTCTACAAATAATAATGTAATAATAATTTGTATGATTAAAATAAAATAGCTTAAAGCATTGCAATTAAAGAAATTTACAATTAACGAACATTTTAGACAAAATTGAGTGAAATGATACTTTTTGGCTTATAAATTATTATAAAATACTGAATTGTTATTAATATAAAAAAATAAGAAACAAAATGAAATGTTATGTTAATTTTTTAAGTTAAATCTACATATTAAAAATAAGTTAAAAAATTTTATTGTGAGAAATATTTATATTTGATTAAATGATATTTGCAAGGCATTAATTTAGTAAAAATATTTATACATAAAACAAAAACAAATTATAAAAACATATGACATAAAAATGGTTTATATATACATACAATATTATGAAACATATATATTTAAAATATATACTTATTAAAATAAAGTATTAATTAATAAAAAAAAACGTCTTACTGGATTTTCAATACAATAGATCATTTAATGCAGGAGGAAATTTAACAATCGGATCTCGCTATACTCAATATATATTAAAGGTATTCAGACGTAGCTCAGGAACTCGTTAATCGTTATAATGATAAAATGACAAATCTCTAAAGGCCCCCTTTTTAATTCTATCTCGGTAATATCGTAAAATTGAAATGACAGAGCAGCAGATTTTGATGTTACTTGTTTTGCTTTACATGAAAGCATAAAAATGGTAAGGAAAATGGTGAAAAAATAATATTTAAATTTAAATTTAAGTAAAAGTTTTTCTTCAATTATTATTTTGTGCTGTATTTGCATTTCACAATAACAAAAACTAGTTAATGCTTTACCAAATACCGGAAAAATTATTAAACCTGATGCCTCAATAGATCGTTAACTCGGCAACATTGCAATTTTAGAAATGTTTGAACTATACTCTTGAATATATACTCTGACAAATTGGTAGAAACAATTTAAATCGAAATAGGCACTTTAATTTTAATCTAATGTTCAATTTCGCATGCTAAAATGGCATTTCTATTTTCTATAAGTAATCAAATCTTCTAAAGGACATATGCATTAAATATGGCGTCAGGCGAGAATAATGTCGGTGTTACTCATTTCGCGACCTAGTTGTGCGACCTGTAAATGTTATTATATTACAAATATTAAATATTTAAGATTTAAAACTATATTTACTTTAACTAAATAAAACTTATTCAATAATTCTTTGAAATAAAATAAATGTTGTTTTTATGGTATGAATTTTAATGGTTCCAAAAATTCATAAAAAAAAATTCGATTAAGTCAGTTTTTTCTAAATTTCATGAGTTTTTTTTACGAGTATATTTTACTGCTCTATCCTAGAGCCAACTTTTGTGTACAGTTAGGTTGTGCGAGAATACGGAATCTAAAATTTAATACATATTAGTAGAAGTATAAATAATCATTAAACTAATTATTTGTTTTGCCAGAGTACGGGGAGTACTAACAACACAATTCCACGTAGAGTGGCATGGTCATCTTAGGCAAGTGATTTTTTTTTTTAGTACTAATGGTCACTAATGCTAGTATTTACTAATAAAGTGAAAAAACAATACTGGTATTCTAATAAGGAAGAGTTAGTTATCATTGAGTTTTTACAGTTAGTTACCAGTGGCAAGCTGTACTAAAACTAATAACCTTTTTAAGAAATTGTAAGGATCATAGTCTCATAAGCATTAAACATCTTATTACTCGTCGTTAGTTATTGACTAAAACGCATCGAATAAAAACTTAGTCTTAATAAATTTATTCAACAATATACCGTCAGCTGTACTGACGACAAGATTGAAGTCGTGCGGAGTCCCAGTAGATTAAGATATATACTGGAATATATTTTTTATCAGGATATATACTGTAAATCAATACTGTGTTATTTTCATAATAAACATAAAAAAATATAACGTCATTAGTCAAAATAAATACAGTATATATAATTGAATATATACTATTTATAATTAATTATATATTATATTATATAATTGAAACAATTATCGTTAGTAATATTTCTTATTTTTGCAAATATTAAAAACAAGTGTTTTGTTTTGTAAGTAGGGTACTATTCGCAATATATTTAAGTTTTAAATTGGAGACACCATTGTTCAAACAAATTAAGAATATAGTGCGTTAATTCACAACCCCCATTGACATATCATATCACAACAATAATATATGTTATCATGTTGTATCATATCTATTATATCAATAATTAATTATAACTTATCAACTGCCTGTCCACTAATAACGGAATCAGGCAACATCCCATTCCCATTCTGAATCGCATGGGAATGGGAGTTTTTTTTCCCAATTTTGCACAAATTCTTTCCCAAGCAAATTGTTTGGAAGACAAGTTAAAAAAGTATTAAAAAAAGTATTAGTTTAATTTAATATGAAAGTAACTGAAAATGATCCGCTTGTTGACTATATTTTAATAAAATTATTATTATAATAAAATTATTATAATAAATTTAATATTTACTAATTTTTATTTATTTATTTTATCCACAAGAGTTGATTAGTTTTTCGAAACTAAATTTTTATTTAATAATATATTTTATTAAAATTATTACAATTATAAAAGTATTATAACCAATTTAATATATTTAAATTTTTATTTATTTATTCTATTCACTAGGGTTTTTTTCCACAAATTAAAGCAATAACTATCGTTATTTAAAACAATAGATACTGAAAGAAACCCAAATTCTGAAATGAATGGGTTTCATTGAAACTTGCAATTATCAGCAGGTAAAACATTGCTTCTTTATTATTGTAACACCTGCTCAATCATAAACTATTATTACAGTTTATTATTTTAAGGACATTTCTATCCTAATAATAAAAATAAATACGAGTTTTGGAGAGGAACTCAAATTATAGTTAAAACATTAATAATTTTAATTAATAAATAAGATATCTTACTTTGTTTTATTGTATATAAGAAAATAATAAATTATATACATATTTAAATAATAAAATATATAAATAAAATAAAAATTTTCTATTATGTACTTATAAAATATTCATTATATTTATTTCTGATAATCTGTGCAGCAGACAAATAATGCGATTCTTACATTTAAATTAATATATGATATGCAATTCTTTTCTTTGTTTTGCTCATTTTCGTACTTTTCGTCATTACAAAATGCCATGGTTGCCAAAATTTAACAAAACAAATTTGAAACTTTTGTTGTTCCCAAAATTGCTGTCTCCCAAGCAATTCAGAATAAGGGAGTTGTGTTTTTGGGAACACCGTGGGAATAGGGAGTTTTGTTTCCTGGGAGTATTCAGAATTGCTATGATTATGTTTTTCAGTAATCTCTATGTATTTATAAATTTAGTTGTGTTCGTTTGTAACAAATGGACTCTATTAAACCGCAAAAATGATCTTCACGAAATATAGATTATACCATTCTTATATGCGATCAATATTTATGGTGATCTCCATAAAAAAATAGTTTAAACCGAATTTTCTCTTAAACTGCTTAATTGACCTGCGTAATATATATGCCATATAATTTCTATATAAAGGGGCGAAATATAGACTAAACAGTTCTTTAACTCACTATAACAAAAAAGTTTTTTAAATCAAATTTTTTCCAAAGTTACTGTGCTCATTTGCATGATAAAGGAAGCAGTACTAAAAATTGTTGGGATCGAATTTCGCAGATAAAATTGTAACCTATAACATACAACTGAATATTTAAATTCGTTAGATATTTCATCAGTTCCATGACACAAGTTATGATTTGATGTTAGAGAGGCAATTATTCTTTTCCGCAACATAAATCCACATAAACTATGCAATGGCACCCAATTTGTTCTCTGTTTCCTTCATGTACCTAAGTTATAAACCAAGTCAACCGATGTCTTAAAGCGTATTGTATTATTAAACTCCAAATTTAATTGTCAAATTTAATTCATTTTTAAATAAAACACATTGATTTCTGTGAAACGTATCAACGCTCTTAGAGTACAACTAGTACTTATATTTTTAAATACATTTTATTCTGTATATTACGAGTATAAATTCTATTTTGATCGTTAGCTCTAACATATTAATTTTTAACTTTAGTTTTATTCTACATCTATTGGTATCTCTGGATCATTGATTTTTTCAGATAAAGTCTCCAACAGTCTACTGCTTGGTGAAACTATACTTATGTCAGCACAATTAACAAAATTTTCTTGGGCACCACATCCGACTTTGCCACTGCCATCCTCGCAAATTCCCCAATTGTTTCCTTTAAATTATAAAGAGAAAATCATTAGAAAATGGGATGTTAACAACTGAAGTCCTTATTATAAACAGAGTATTCAAATTATTTTTTTTTATATTTTTCAATGAATCTAAGGGCTATTTGCACTAAAAAAAAGATTTTACTGTTACGTACAATACAAAATAAAATATGTTTTAAGGTAAATTCCCTAAAACTCGAAAATGATTCCTTGATCCAAGACAAAAATAGCGAAATGGAAAACGTAAAAACGAAAAGAACATATTTGTAAAAAGCGTCTCGAGAATTATTAAATTGAATCTCAGTATCATACGATTATATTTGTTTCTTAACCCAAAAACTTGTTTTTGAACTTAAAGAACGTGTTCAAGAAAAACTCCAATACTGTACAAATTTAAATGCAAAATATTTTACTGGTGCAAAATAAAACTTATTCACCACCCACAGATCAGTTTCCATTCTGTATGCATGGAAATTCGAAAGATAATCACTGTACGATGTCGTTAACAATTTTCATTGGATCCGAAAATGCTTCGATTGAAATATGTGTTGATGCCTTATTCTAAACTTCTTAACAACATAAATATGATTCAATCAACTATTACTCATCAGGTGAATATTAATATGTATAATATCACAAGACTAATATATCTTTGATTCTCTTTTTATTTATAAGGAGTAAAGTTTATTATCCAGTCTCTAATTTATCCTGAATTATGGGTTAACATTATTTTTTCAAAAACTTGCAATGAAATGCAGAAACTAATTCTATCGAGATGACATCCCCATTACTCAATAACTACTATGAGTGTCAACTGTTTCCTGAAGTTTAGTAAAGTATCTTAATAGTTTCGTGGCTGATAATACGCCCTTTCTTTAATAAAAAATTATGTGATGAAACAGTCATTCCTACCTAAGCTTAAGTGTATGTGCATAGCCTTATAACCTATCTTTACCTAACACCCAATTTCCACTAACCGAATTGTTAATTAATGTTTACGTTTAATGTTCATAAACTCTCTTACAACCCTTTGGCCCAAGAAGGAAAAAACAAAGATCTTACGCTTTTACTTAAAAATGTCTTACTATTTTTTTCTATGTGCTCACGCATTCTGGTACTATTGGATAAATAGCTTGGATTGGCTCTCGATATTCGCATGTTTTATTCAAGCTTCTGATTGCAACTGATCTGAGAGCAAATGTGGAATATGATCTCCTTTTGTAAGAATCCTTAAGTTTATAATGGGAAATGGGTATTATTGTTCAGATACTTTAACTAGTATAACCATTAACTAATATCCATTTAATCCATTGATAACAATGAGTAATTAGGATGAAAGGCTTTTAAAATACCGATCACACTGATAAGGAAAATTTTATCTCATTAATTGTTTCTATTTCAAGTATATATACATATATATGGTTGACTACTTATACTGATGTTGACTAATAAGAAAAATCTTACCTGCATTGTAAGTCCATCGTAGTACACAATGTTGACAGCTAACACCATTGGGTAGCACAATTGTAGTTTTTATAGAACCAGTTGTAGTACCAATATACAGTTTATCACTGCCATCAGCAAACAGTAAACGATGTTTTTGGAAACATTGTTCTGTTTCGATGCCGGAAGTTTCATCCAAGTTACACATATTGAAGTAAACATATCCTAAATGATTTGCCGTAATAGTAAAGCTAATGTCAGCAGTGTAGCTATTATAGGATGCAACAATGACTCCAGTGCCGCCATATTTGCCGCCTAACTCATTTGCACGTGGAAGAGCATCACCGTAATTATCACCACACAACCCACATTTACCATCATGCGTATACCACTGAGTCTATGAAAAATATTGGCATTATAAATTTAATGGTGACAATATTTATGATAGACCACATCTCAACTTACTGAAAAGCCACCACAATACAAAGCATTGTCATCATAATTTTTCAGCGCTGTAGAATCGTAACGCCAGCGAGAAGATCTACTTGCTGGACTTAACATCATGCCATGTGATCTTATTTCACTTACGCATATCATCAAAACTAAGTAAATTATTAACACTGCACTTGATTCTTTCAACATTTTAATTATACTTAATAAATTATGGTATATTTCTTTCACTTCTTAACTTCCGACAACTTTTACAAAATAACTTAACACTTTCGCGTATCTGCTTGCGATTAGTAAGCATGTTTTCGGTGCAGTCTTCTTTTATACCAAGAAGAACAATAATGACAAATTCATACGCCCTGATATGCTCAAGTACTTCAATTACTCGTAATTGTTATTATCAAAACTCAATTTTATGAGTTGCCCATAAAGTATTTCCTTATCAGAAATCTTTACTGATACAAGTATTTTCACAATAAAAAATTATTTTATTTCTCAAGCGAAAAAACTTTAACCGACGTGCAGCTTAAATTTGGTAACCTTGGACCCAAGCAATTAAAACAGCTCAACATCTCTCTGTTGAGATGTTTTAATCAATTTTATCCTAAGTAGGCAAATCATTACAAGAATGGCTTTAGCCATTTCTTTTCACTAAAAGTGGCATAAAGCACACATTTTCATTAGCACACATCCATTTTCACATTGTTCAGATTTGTATCCTTAAGCATAATTGCTGATATTGGGTGATATAGAAAATATATGCCCCTTTTGGTACATATTTGAAGACAACATTTTTTTATTGAAAAGAAATTTCGTGAACCTTTATAATTCCATCGGTGTAAAACTTCTGCGGTTTGTTATTAGTTAGTTGAGATAGTTGGTCATTACTGAAGTGAGTCGTTGTTAGCTGTGTGCAGTAAGCCCGTCAGCCATCCCGATCAGAAGCTTGGTATTGCCAGTTGTTAGCGAGTTTCTTCACATCATTGATCACGTCGTTCTTCTGCTGAATATGCAAACGTCCTCTACCACGTTATCCCACGTTAGCTAGCGGATACCGAATCAAACACCTTTCGTGCCGGAATATTTTCTTCCATTCGCACGACACAATCAAGTCAGCGAAGCCGCTGAATTTTTATGCGATAAACTTTAACAATGTGATTTGTAGAACGTGATTTTTATTTGTCAAGAGAGGTCTTTATTTCTTAATTGCCTACTTAGCGCGACGGACTGTTAGCATGTGTAATTCTTCATTGAATCACTAGGCTGACGTAATTTTGGTGGTTATGCTGGTGTCCAAAAACAACAAAATTTTGCTGTACCTTTTCTGGCTAGTTTGTCCGCGTATTCATTTCCGCGTACAGCAGTATGTCCCGGTACCCAAAGAATCGACACCTGATTTGTTTCGCCAAGCAGAATTAGCTTATCAAGGCAGTCTAACACCAGTCTTGAGGTCACCTAATGCGAGTTCAGTGCCTTGATCGCCGCTTGGCTGTCTGTCAGTATTGTAATATTTTTACCCTGATAATTCCGTTCAATATTGATTAGTACATATTTTAAAATTGCGTAAATTTCCGCTTAGAAGATGCTAGTATTATTCCCCAACTCTTCCCAGTGCTTCTTGCCTGGTCCGACTGTGCCCGCTCTGGCATCTTCCTCCGGAAGCGAGCCGTCAGTGAACCATGCAATTGTACTATTCATTAGCTGGTAGGTTTGATTGATGTCCTCCCAGCTTCATTTGTTGCTTAGTTCAGTTTTATAAAGCTTAGTAAAGCTGAACTTAGGATTCATTGTGTCCCATGGCACTGAAAGTTTCGAACGCTGCTTGGCCAGATTTTCGAACTTCTTACGCACGCCAGTCTTTGTAGCCTGTTTAGTGCGTAAGTGTTATTTTATTGTCTGATTCCATTTTCCACATTAATGCCCCATATGAGATGATAGGTCTAATGATCGCCGAGTAGACCCATCGCCGAGTAGTATTATTGGTGTAATGACCTGGATCTACAGGTCATAAGAGTTGAGTTTTTGGTGTAGATGTATGCCCAAGAACTTAACTGTTTTCTTTATTTCAATCTCAATTTCATCGAGTCTGATAGGCTTCAGATGTTTGAGTTTCTATTTTTTTTGTAAAGGTTACAACTATAGTTTTAGCTAGGGTTATACTTAGTCTTACTTTGTTGCACCAGTTTCTTGTGATTTCTAATCCATATTGGATTCTGTCGCATAGTGTATTTTCAAATTTTCCTCTGCTTGTTATTACTATGTCATTTGCATAGCCTTGCACTGCTAGTCCGTTGTTTCCCAGTTCGTGAAATAGTTCATCCACCGGTATGCTCCACATGAGTGGTGAGAGTACCCCACCTTGGTGACATCCTCGTGTGGTATTCATCCTTAATAGGCCCATACTAGTGCGTGTTTCCACCTTCCTAGTTCGAAGCATGTTGCTCATATAAGGGATCTCTTTATAGCGTCATGTGAAGTATTGTCAAAGGTATCTTCTATATCTAGAAATGCGCATATTGCTGTTTCCTTCTTCTCAATACTATCCTCTATCATATTTGTCAACTCAAACAATGCGGTTTCAGTACATAGATCTACTAAAACTACCTTTGCCGTTTTCCAATAGTTTGGTACATACCCAAACGCAATACTAGTTCTAGTTATCTTCGTCAGCGGGGTTAGCAAGTATTTTATTCCCTGTTGAATAAGTGCAGGAAGTATACCATCTATGCCAGGTGATTTAAATCGTTTGTCGATTTGATGTAAGCGCTGACAAATCTTTGCTACTTTTAACCAGCTACCACCGCTGCCTGAAGACGTTGCCGCGATTTGGTGATAATCGCCTGCTTCGCAAATATTGACAGCCAATTTAGCTAACTCGATCAGTTAATATCGATCAGCTTGATGTCTGAAAAATTGCGTGCACTGGTGGAGGCAAACGCTGGAGCCAGAGTGATTTCAAAAATTCGTCGCTCACTTTGTCCTTCGCAAACGTTGTCAGTTCATTTAATAGTTGAGTCATAGTTGGGGCGAGCTGTTGAGTCACCAAGCTCGACGTCTGATAATAGCCGGATAATAGCTGGATTTTTCGCTGCTCAGATTCATTATATCGCTCAATTATCTGTTTTTTAGATTTTCGTACAGGTTTGTTGCTGGTGAATGTAGTACAATGTCCGCTACGTCAACCACAATGCTAGACTCAATTGCGGCTACTATAGTGTTGGACTTCGTCACATCGTTGCAGACACCTGCCACCGCGAACTGCGCCTCAATCTAAGCAAACCATACTTTGGGTCGCTTATGCCAGAACGGAGGCACCTTCATGACGAAACGATTCACGATTGGTGCTGAGTCTTCGCGCTGTTTTTCGGACGATGCTGCAATTTCACTTTGTACTGACATTTTATCGCCTGGTCTCGGAATTTAAATCACTCACACTAAGCTGGAATTTTGCTCGAAGAGTTCTGAAAAAAATTTATATACGTAGATGAATACCTCTTTAATAGTTCAACAGTTTTGAAAAGAACTAGTCACGTCGGGGTCACCAATTTATTTATTCAAACTATTCTTCCAGTAGGTGAAAGCATCGAAAACCACCTTGTGAGACTTGAACCCACTAAACCAGTTCTTTGAAATGAAAGTGGAAGATTGCACCCGCAGATACAATCCCATTTCAGAATTAGGGAAGACAAAAAATAAGAGCTTAGTATTTGTAAACAAGCTGGGTGTGAAGACGCATAAGCGTTGAAATTAGGGGTGATGAGGAAATCCTAACGAGCTATTGAGAAAAGGAGACCGTTAACGGTATACATGATGTAGGGGATTATGACATTCACGATTGTATAACGAGATGGAATGAGGGAAGCGAGCCATCTCATCAAGGTAGAGAGAAAGAGATTTGGGGGACCTGTGAAAAAGGGCTTGAAGAAACTCAGAAAGAAAATCTTCATCATAGAGAAGATTGGGGGTGAGATTGTGTTGACGAGTTAAGTGTCTACGCGCAAGTGAAAGAAGGTACTCATCCAGTCTTTCAATTTTGGCAGCGGAGTAGAGTACTCGACAAGAGTGGTGATGTCCTTTGGACTTACGTCTATAGTTGATGCAATCACGAAGGATTTTACTTTCAAGAACTCGAAGGCGTTCTATTTGGGCTGAGGAAATCCCAAACCAAATAGGGAACGTATACATAAAAATGAGGCGAATGAGCTGCTTTTAACAGAGTACCTTGGACTAGACGTTGAGGAGGTTGTGCCTGTGCAAGGCGTTTTTAAGTTGGATGTGCTGAAACGTGGCATTCTGAATGGTGTGAGAAACATGTGGAATGAAGTTGTGTTTGGGAGTGGAAACAATTCCGAGGTATTAAAATTTGTCGACTATGGGAATAGAAGTGTAATTTATTTGGACGTTTAGGTCAGTGGAACAGAAACGTCTTGAGCAACCAGTTCACTTACCTATCAGAGCTACTGCAGACATTTTGCTTGGGTTGAGTTTTAGCTTTCACATGGAATAATGGCTGGAGAGATCGGCAAATTCTATGTTAAGAGAGACTAAGATTCGGCATGTGGACTTGGATTTGGTGTAAACTAAGCAATCATCGGCTTAACACAGCTGTTTAATGGGGGTTGAAAAAAATTTTACACAAGTACGAATGCCCTTTTTCAGCATTAATTCCCTGCAAGTGTTCCGTGCCGTTTACATCTTCTAACAACATGTGTTTTTGACTGGTGCTGCCACAGTATATTTAGATTTATATCTTGTTTCTGTGCAAGAAAACTGTTTTCGGGCTGTTTAATTGTCGATCAATATACATATTTCACCATATAATCGTTTCTATAAATATGTGTATCATAATAATTATACACATCTTTCTTAATGTAATTTATTTTCCTATAAAAATATCTACATAACTATGTTCATAATAAGTCTGTTATGAGCCACGAACTACTTGTTGTAAGTTTGAGTAACACTGTGTATACACAAGTGCGTGCCACCAGCAAATTTTCGTGTAAATTTTACTTGTGGTTTACTTGAGTTTTACTACAAGTAGCTTGTGGAACAGACCTAATATAAATATTTATTATGTATATATAATTTTTATTAGGAATTTTATACACCATTCACATCTTATTAACATATTTTTTTAACAACAAAAACTCTAGATGACTCTGAATAGTATAACCTTTCATTCAAAGATTTCGACGCTATTCATTTATTTATTACTAATTTATATATATAGTAACCCAGTTATAGGCAAACATCCCATTGCAATCCCATTTAATCTAATAAACAAATGCTACAGACTGCAACGAACTTAGAAATCTTATATCGACGTGGTTGAAATTACGGTAATCAATTGTAATGACGCGTCAAAATTTTGATAATGTCTGTGAGAACGACTCCGAACGAGAGCCCTTTACTTTAGCGCTCCTTATCCAGAAGATAAATAGTCGTATAGATTGTTTATTATGTTCTTCCTCAGGTTTCTAATGCTTCTTTGCATATGGGTGACCCTTGAGTTACAATTATGGTGTATATCACAAATGGGACAATTCACAAAAATTGTTGCGAATCATATCTGTCATAGAAATGAGAGATGGAGACCATAATATTTCAATTCATTGCCCTGGGCGAGATTAATACACATCCTATCTACTATCGAAACTAATACAAAAAAAATTTAAAAAAAATCATGGTTGAGAATGAAAAGAGGAGTGAAATTATAAAATAATATCTAATCATAAGAATTACTTTACATACTAAGCAGGAATATACATTTGACAACAACAAACTATAAGGAACAAGATATTGTGTATTTTTATATAAAATAAAAATAATAAATATTCATATATTGATATACTCTTTTGATAATTGCGGCCGACCATTTATTCATAATAATACTAATAAAATTTTACTTATCTGCAATTTAACTTTATATCGGCAAACTTTCTAATTAATGCATTAAAGTCCATATTTTCTGCAATTTTTTTCTCGATTGACAAAGGTGAAGGTGCTAAATTTGTTGATCTGGGTTGAGACATTGTCGACCGCCGATAGGTAGGTTTGTAATAGCATATGTTTTATAAATGTTTTTATGTTTTGTCGGTTTCAGGGACTAAATCAATTAAAGCATCATGAGTGGTATTAATTTGATACCTGACTGCTTTAATTTTTTTAACTAACCAATGTGTGTCTGGTCTTGACGAAAAACACTCAGGCACCAGCTTAGCTGATTATACGGTAAAATATGTTAACACTGTATAATATATATACAGTGTCATAATATAATCTAATGTATCTCGCAACATATTACCTTACTGTTTACGTACATTATAAAAAGAATTAAATAAGCTTTATATTTTTAACGCAATTAAAAGAAAAAACATTTAATGGAAAACTATTTCTGTCACCACGAACTCGATTTAGGTCAATGTTGTTAGATATCATAAATGTAATATGAACATATTTCAAACTGTGCACACAAAAGGATATCCACTACAATCCGTTTTTAGAACAAAAAAAAAACAAAGAAATATACCCCATGAATATTTCTTATTTTTGGAACACCCATCTATTTTTTTATAATTTCTCAATTCTTATATATGTAGGCCTTACTAATCTTTATTGCTTCCTCAATTGCCTGATAATTAACATTATAATTTTATAACCATCAATTTTAAATCTAATGCATGGAATTATATTTAATTAGTTTTTTATCGCTATTTATTAAAAAAAAAATTTTGACTCAGCTAGATTATTTAATTTGGGTCGCAATTTTTAAAATTGTTATTGTTTTGATTTTTTAAGTATAATAAAATATTTTACGATTTCTTTAGAAATATGATTTATTATTTTCGCAGTAGTTGTGGTTATTAAATTTTTGAAAAAACCTTAATACAATAGTTATAAAGTAGATGAGTAAATCATTACGCTGTCTGAAGTTAATGGTTCCATATTTGTAAATTTTAACAGTTGTACGTCTATGCATATCAAAAGTTTATTTTACAATTATTAGTATTCAGTAAGAAACTGTTTGCAAAGCTAGAAGTGATTTCAACAACTATAAGTTTACATACAGTTTACATACAATATAATCTAAGTAATAAACTCCAGAACATATAATAATAAAACGTAAAAATATATTTTCTTTTATTTTTTATTATAAAAAAGGGGCAAATATGAAATATACTTAAATATGCCGAAATGTATCAACTTTTTTGGTGTTGATTACTGCTAAAACTCACTCTGATATTTTAAGACGATTATCCATATCAAGACTCATTATGTATAAACTCATAAATTTACTTGATAATATTCTTCTTCATTCTTAATACAATCATAATTGATGTGCAAAGCCTTGACAACATTAATTGCTCTTTCATAGTGTGAAATATAACTTTCTATTAGTAAACATTTTTTAAAATAGTTTTTAGAAATTTTTGTTTTATATATATCTTTTTCGTACTATGTGAGTAATGCAGAAACGTTTTTCTTTGTGATGTATTAACAACAAGAATAATTATAAAAATAAAAACGTACAATCATTTTTATATCTTTCTTAATATTAAGCTTAACTGTTTTTTAACACGTTTTTTAATGTCATTAAGCTCATTCCTAAATAAAAGTATATTTAAAACTTATATCAATGTTTAAAAAAATTTAATAGAATTCAAATATTTTTTTAATTTCTTAAATTGTATTTAGAATAACATATATTATACGAATCCTCGCAGTGAGTAGAATATAAAACAATTATTATATTAATTAATTTTTAAACATATAATAAATTTATATATATATATAGATATAGATATCAATTACATATAAAAGATTAAAATTAAAAGTCTTTAATAACATCACTGTAAGAAAAGCATAGTTGATACTTTTTTCTTGCATTATAGTCGCAATGATTTAATTCACTTATACTAAACTTTTAAACTACATATCTTTTACTTTTTTTAAACCTTGAACAAAGTTGCTTAAATCATATTCTTCGTCATACTGATGTTCTGACCATAATTCTGGCAGGTTTTGAATTATTGTATTCATTGACATTTGAGTTTTGGTTTTTGGTGCAGTAGAAGATACTGGTTTTTCATTACCATTTTCACGTTCATTTAAATTAAATAAATCAAATAATTGTTCGGTGGCCATAGTATCCATGGAAGCGTTGTCCGCACTGACTACTGTGTTTGCTGTGAGTAATTTGAATTTTTGCAAACCCATTATTTTTTCCTCCAATGATTTACGTGTAATTAAACGATATACATTAACAACTTTTTTTTGGCCAATACGATGCGCTCGATCCATTGCCTGCAAATCTTTCATTGGATTCCAATCATGTTCAACAAAAATAACTGTGTCAGCACCAGTTAAATTAAGACCAAGTCCACCAACCTAAAAAAACACATCACAAATACAAATTTTGTATTATTTTTTTTTTTTAATTCTATAAGCAACATCTATTTTACGTACTTGTGTCGTTAATAAAAGCACATCTATACTAGGATCACTATTAAAATTGTTTACTATATCCTGACGCATAGAAGCTGGCACACTACCATCCAACCGCAAATATGTTACTGTTGGCAGATGTTTACAGAGGAGATCGTTCTCAACAATATCCAGCATAGCTTTTAATTGACAAAAAATCAATGCACGATGTTGACTAACAGATTCCGTTTGTACACCAATACCACAATCCAGTAATAGTTGTCTATAAATTTAAAAAAAAATTTATTCAATTTATTTAACTTTAACTATAAATTTAATTAATAAATTTTTAAATACTATACTCCAATTTTATAATTTATTAAATATTTTAATTAACACTGTACTATTGTACTCACTTAAGAGCAGGTAATTTAGCTGAATGCTCAATATCATTTAACGATGTTTGCTGTTTCATCAACTCTTGCGATATCTTTATGAATTCAGGATGATTTGGTGTTAATACAAGTTTGGGATGGTTACAAACATTTTGCAAGTAACGTAAGGCATGAAAGATATGTGTTTTTGAATTTAAATTATCACTTTCAGTTAAATTCTCCAAGCAATCTTTTATTTCAGAATTAAGGTGCATTCTACTAAAATCTTCATAAAGTCTTTCCTGCAATGGACTTAGTTCACAAAGTAGATCTTGTGTTATTTTTGGTGGTAAATCTGTAAGGACATCTTCTTTTACACGCCTAAGCAAAAATGGCAAAACTTGACGATGTAATGCTTCCATAGCCAAAACACCAGCTTCTTGTTCCTTTGTCGAACTCTTTGAATCTCGTGATGCCAATATCGGACGGCTGTAGCGAGAAATAAATTGTTTTTCTGTACCAAGAAAACCAGGCATCAAAAAATCAAAAAGTGACCACAACTCAAGTACATTGTTTTGTATTGGTGTACCAGATAATATGAGTCGATGATTGGCTTTTAAAGTTTTGATTGCTTTAGAACTCTTCGTTTTCCCATTCTTAATAATATGACCTTCATCCAGTACACAATAGTTCCAATGTATATTGCTAAAAAAAGATATGTCTTTACGTATGGTATCATATGATGTTACAACTAAGTTGTATCTTTTAATTTGCGTTCGTAGTTTTTCTCTGATAAGTGGTAAGCCAACATAATGTAGTGGAACCAAAATGTTTTGTTTTTTTAAAAATTTATCTACTTCATAAACCCAATGGCCTGTAAGTGTAGGTGGGCAGACTACTAAACTTGGTAATTGGGTTTTTTTATCTAACGCACGTTGAAAATGATCTCCAGCCAAAATACAAATTGTTTGTAATGTTTTACCCAAACCCATATCGTCACAGAGTATGCCATGCAAATTGTATTTATTTAAAAACCATAACCAGTTAACACCAGCTTGTTGATAGGTGCGTAGTTCGACCGATAATTCGACTGGTACTTTATAATCAGGTATAGTTTTAGGCGCGAAAAGATAATCCAAAAACTCACGATCTTTAGTTTTTCGTTCTTGTAAAGATTTTGACTTTATTTCATTTTTTCCTGCTTTCGAATCCAAAGGCATGAGTTGTACTAAAGTAGCAAAGCAATGTGTTGATAATAAACGTACAGACTCATCTGGGTCGCTCATACATCCTACAAAAAATTCAAATTTCAATACATATTATGCATTTTTTTCCCTATAACAGATAGCGAACATATACCTAAAAGTGGCACTACAAGTAATACAATATATGGTACAATCTTAATCTGCAGTTTATCCACTACACGTTCTATAGCTTCGATTGCACCTTGACGGTAAATAACACATTCTATTGTGTTTAATAGGCTCACAAGTTGATTGACTACAAAATCCATAACTAAACACGCATCTATGCTGGCCAAAGTTGCTATACAACGAGCTACCATATGACGTATCTATAATTTATATATTTAATATTTTTTATAATATATATGATATATTATATAAGTATTTTATTATACGTACTGCTTTAAACGGATGAGTTATTAGCACGCGAAATTGTGAAAGTAATTCAAACACTTTACCGTGTAATGACTGGTGCAAATATGGTGCGGAAACTTCAATTAATTGCAGAGACGTCACTAAATCGTTAGCTTCCATTACATTTATTTGCATATCATATAACTTATCCATTACTGCATGCGTACCAATAAATTCTTTGATTTTCCCAAACATAATATCGTCGAATACTGGTATTTTATCAAAAATATTTTCACCAAATACTATACAAAGCTTTATAATTGTGCATGTAGCACCTAAACGTTGGGTGCGTGACTTTTTGAGATCCTTATAAATTTTATAAAGTTAATAATAATAATAATAATTTTTTATTCATTTTAAGTTCAATTTTAAAACTTACCAAACTGTTTGCACAACTAGAATTATTTTCATTAACTACTGCTGCAGTAACAACTAAAGTTTCATGTAAAGGTGGTCTACCAGGACCACGGGGAGTACTAGATACACCACTTCGTAATCCAAAATTTGTTGTATTTTGTTGAAGATTTAATGTTAATATACCGTAGTAAGCACAGTTATCATTAACTGAGTTAGTTATAGGAGTCTGCTTTAAAGTGCTTTCAGAACTAGTCTAAAATGTATATATAAAATACAAACGATTTATTATATATATGACATGTGTATAATGTAAGATATTTACTTACAATTTTTGGTGTAAATTCCCAATCACTTTTAAGAAGCATACATAAATTAGTTAAAATCTTACTATTGGGACTAGGGTTTCTATCACACGCTTGATCCATTAAAATCACAAGAAATTCGCCGGACAATTCCTGCAGCAATTCACAGTCTTCTCGTTTTATTGACTCCATTAGTGGTTTAACGACAGGATTTAATTTCTCGGGCAAACAATGCAAGCAGACTATAGCTCCAGCTAGCGCAGCTTGAGCACTTATATTGTAATTACATTGCTCAATTGCAGTTTGCTGAAAATTTGTTTGTAAAGCTTTGCGACGTTGTTCAAGAGTATCTAATATTTTTTGTTTGAGTCCATGTTTATCTAAACCCTCCGTTAAAGTGGTTGCTACCGCTTCAATTTGATCCAAAGTTAAAACCTTCGCATTATTGAAATCATTAATGGGCACTTTGTATTGTTTCAACGTTGCAATAAAATCATGTGTGTCCTGTAGCAAACTGTAAAGTTTTTTTTTATTGATTTCCATTTTATACTTAGATAACAAATGTATGTATTTACCGAGTAAATGATCCAGCAACTTCATCATAGTAAACATATTCTGAAACACATATACGAAGTTTCTCTTGTAACTTTACAGCATTATCTCTGGCTGTAGTATCAATTTGAGCCCAAAACGCAATGATTAAACCTTAAAAAAAAAAATTGAAAAAAAAACAAAAAAAAATAAAATAAATAACATTAAATATTACTACTAGCAATGCAACACTGTCTACATACCACAAACCAAACGTTGCACAGCAGAACGTGAATTTAAATAGCCAAGTAAAACCTTAGTATAAATATCCATAGGGCTCTCCATATTTGCAGTGTATTCTACTCCAGGTGCTGGTTGCACCAGATAAAAAGAAAGTGCGCCTAATACACGTGAAGCCAAAACGCGAGCTCGCATATAGTTGCGTTCCCGTACCTCAATCGGAGTCGCTTCGCTACCACCCAAAAATAACTTTTGAGAAGTGATTGAAGTTAAAATATTACACCCTAAATCATCACCACTTCTTTGTATACGACGACGATTTAGTGATGCATCACTAGTTGGGGTGGCTTGTATTAAAGCTGCTGGATCAAATGCAAGTCTTTGAGGTTGCATAGCTAAACAAATCCATGATGAAACATAGGGGCATGCTGCATGCAACAGTGCGCCTATATTAGCATTTGTAATAAGATTCATCCAAACAAGTTGAGTAAGTTGATGAATGTCAGTCTGTGATTCGACTAGAATTCGTTGATAAATATGACGTAAAGCTTCTTGAAGTAATTTTGGCTGCCAGTCTATGACACCAAAGTTTAGCGTTAAATTTTTTGAATCAAAATTAAGCTTCATTGTGGATAAACCGATACTAGAAGCATTTTCAGGAACTAATTCAGTTTTCGTTTTTACATTTTTTGGCGAATATTCAGTTTTTGCATTATTTGTGGAAAGCGTTTTTAAAGTCATTAAAGTTGATTTGCGTACCGAACTAGAATTGTGTGAAAGGAAAGGCCATAAGCGCGGTACAACTGTTGACATGGGCTCCATTCTAAGTACATGGACACAAAATAAGCCATTTTTTTTAACATAACAATTTCTTTTTATACTTACTGCAACCATGAAGATGCATTAGGAAGACATAATAAAGCTGCGAGCAGCCCCATAAAACTATTACAAGCAGATGTGAGTTCATCTTGATCTAATAACAAATCCCACAACATTTTAACAATTTTTGACACCTGCTCAGCAGTCAATAATTTTGGCAACCATAAAGCAACTGGTGTAAGCGTAGATGCAGCTACAGCACCAACATCATCTACTGTATCAAACAGACCAATTAGCACATCATTTATAGTACGTGGTAAACATTTCTCCAATAAATCCTGACGCACGACAAATACATATTTTAAACCTAACAATCCACCATGACGTACTTCCCACTCATTTTCTTTTAATAATTTTAGTAAAATATCCACAATGTTATACACTTGTTCTGCTTCCATTTCTTTAACAATTAAACCCAACACTTGCGAGCATGTTTCACGGACTGGCGCAACTACTTGATCTGAAACAAAGTCACCAAAACGATCTAAACATAGCACACAAAGCAAACGCAAAGCAGCATCTTCCAACCACAAGCTGTGATTATTTTCCATCTAAATCATAATTAAACAGTCGTGGTGATTATCAAGTAATTACCTTCATTCATTTGTATTCATATACTAACTTCTTCTTTTGTCATGTTTATACTCTTTCCTGCTCCTTTCGAATGAATAAGAATCAGTTCTCGTAAAGCAGTAGCAGCTCCATGACGTATTTCCCATTTGGGATTGAATAAATCCAGATACAAGCGTGCGCAAAAATTTTCTAATGGCCAATTTGTCGCATCTATCCAAGTTCCTGTAGCATCTGGTACAGGATCTGAAAAAAAATATATAAAATAAATATTATTTTATTAATTATTTCAAGAGACAATAAGATAACAAAAACAAAAATTAAGCACACACCGTTTAGGCTATAAAATATTTCCTGCCTTTGAGGATCAGATTTAAATTTTTTCTTTTCGGGTTCATCACTCTTTATACCATTATTGCCCAATAAAGAAGTGCTGCGATTTATTGTGTTGGTGGTTGACGTTGCTACAGTCGTGGTGACACTGGCCGAGGACATGTTTTGACGTGCTTTACGTTTGGCACGGTTCATTTCACGGCAGCTTAATTGCTGCCCATTTGAGGGTATTAAATTATGATTAGGTTTAATATTAAGAATGCTTTCAACAGGAACCTTAAAATTAACAAACAAATTAATTCATAATAACATACAATAAATACACATATATTATACTATATATTTATTTACTATTAAATGTATCAACATCTTTTAATTATTTTCAAAATTAGTGCTATACCTTTTCATCATTAATATTGTATGTAGCGGTGTTGCTACACATGTCTTCATCCGTAATCATCTCACTAATATTTAATATTTGAGCTAAGTCTAATTTTTCTTTCAGCATAGCACGCTGTTGGCTTAAGTGTTCTGCTTTAGTGGCTATCGAAGTTCCATCTTCATTCATATCGAATTCAGCCCCTTCGGAACCAATTAAACGTGCCCCCTTATTCAATATTTGTTCTAAATTAAATTCATTAAATAATAAAAAGCGATTTTTAGCTTCGGTAACACTATTTGCAACAGTTGCAATGGATGATGAAGCTGAACTAGTAGATTGACAACTGTCCTCCTCTAAATCATCTTTCTTTATTTCACGCTTTATGGCACTATTACTTGCAGCAAAAACTTCAGGTTTCCATACTGGAACATTAAGTAATATGGCTTCAACTGTTTGTGCAGCAGCAATGCGAGTATCCCATGATGAACTGTGCAAGTAACCAATAAGACGATTAAGTAACGCGTGTAACTCATGAGGATACAATTTCTGTACTTCCCCAATTTGCTTAGCAGCTGCACGTCGTGTTACAGCGGAAGAACCGGATTCCAATAATATGAATAAACGATCCAATCTATATTTAATGGATTATAAGTATTCGTAAAAAATTATAATTTATCATTCATATATATAGATATATATACATATTTATACAGCTGTTTTCTATTCATATACATATATATCAGAACTTTATTTATATTTTACTTACCGTGAAGTCATTGTTTATCTTTAATGGAATATGGAAGTTGTTGTGAATTTTATTGGATTACCCTCTAAGTTTTTGTATATTTCTTAAATCAAATAAGCCAGCAAAGTTCTCTGGTATACATAGAAACGAAATTTCAACTTGTCAATATTCTCCAAATGAATTTGTTATTGCTTTCGCTGATGTTATTGTATGTAATGATGTTGCTGTTTTAGTTGCTTATCTGTTCTGAAAATGTTTTAATAATTAGTGTCATTAAAAATGGAAAAACCAAAAACTAAAATTTTCGTGCTTATAAATAATTCAACGCAATATTACTACATTTAGGCAAAATTTTAAATTCTCATTTCAAAAGAGATTTTCAAATATTGATATAATAATTAAAATTATTTTGGACTTTTAGACGTATCTGTATCTAGGCGTTGGTTGTTCTCAGGTGTGCATTTAGTGCATGCGTTGATTGATGCAATCACAAGTTGCATATAGGAAACTCAACTCTATTAGGATAAAAATTGATACAAATAATTTATTTTATCTAGATACATACATAAAATAAAATAAATAGTTTCTGTATGCATTTTCTCATTGAGTATAGTTACAGATATATGTATTTGTAAGCAGAAAATCTTTACAATGTACCCGCATAAAAAATGCAAAACAAATCCGCATTTTATGGTCAACAAACTGCTTGCATCCATTCCAATTGATATTATTTCATTTAAAAATATACAACATATATATACTCGTATGTAATACGCCGAAAAACAGTCTGCTTTTTAATTCTAAATAAATATATTTTATGAAACGTTTATTGTAAGATTATGTATCTGCGAATGTAACGAATGTATCTGCTAAGAATAAAATAAATACATTTATATTATGGATAAAAAAAATTAATTTGATATATTAATTTATGCATTTTATAAGAAATATTAGAACAATAGGTCTAATATAGAAAATACCAAATATAGAACAGGCTACTAATAATTGTCTATTCTAATAAATTGTTCAATAGTAACAAAATAGTAAAATCGTTCCTTAATGCTCATAATTTGAACTTGAAAAATTCCTTTTTGGCTATATTGCCCAGTTCCCTTCACTGTGTTTTCATCTGGAGTTGGTTAGGGCATAAAAACCTTTACACCCTTATGTGGGCGAGATTATGGTGATTTCGCTATCTATGGAGTTCGTTAGTCCATGATGGATCTGCTTGCTGGGTTATTGTTGTTGATTAATTGTAGGCCCGACAATGCGGGATTTGTCGATAGGCAGACTTTTTGGAATAGGTTTATTGATTTGTCTCTAATATGAGTTATAATGGGTTTGATATTGATTTCTTTCTCAATTCTCCTGCCTCTAATTGTTCAGTTTATTGCAGTGAAGAACTTAAACAATTACAATGTTAATGTATTTCCAACAATGAAACAATAGTTGTAACAAATTAAGGAAAGTTATGACAGAAAAACATGCAGTTAGTCGTTTATACTTCATTCATTTTACTCTTAAAAACTCAAATTCTTTTACAGAATCGAATTTGTATTTTTATTTATTATTTACCATTTATTTATTAAATTTTGGTATTTATGAAAGAAGATATAACAGCATCAGTATTAACTTAACTCTGACTGAGTTAAGTGCCTAAGTCAAGTGACTTATAGAAACTCCCCCATATCAACGACTTCCACGCTCAAAAAAAATTTTGCTTCCACACAGAAGTCTTTCACAGAAGAACACTTTTACAGAATAAAAGAAAAGAAATATTAGAAGTGTCAAACGGTGAAAACTGAGCCGCAGTCTCTGGCAAATAGATTGACCACTAAATTGGTTGTTTTATAAATTCGAATTATAAAACTTTAAATTTGGTGATTTTAAGTACATATCTGCAAAGCAAGGAGTGCTTTACTAAAATAATATGTCAATTTAGCTATGCACTTTGTTCTAACTTTATTCAAATAAGTGAACCACCTATTTAGGACTATCATTTATGCTTTTAGTTTTGAAATAGAAGCAGTTTTATAATGAAATCAAAATAGTTTCTCTAATTTGCGTTATAATATTGTTCTGATTTCAGTCGATATAAGTTTAAATTTTTGGTACTACTTTGACTGATGACCAAAATTTGGTTAATCAACACCAACAGTTTAAGGCGACATAAATAGTAATATCTGTTTCTAAAAAAAATCAAGATAATACAATATATTTCTTTTATTAGTTTGCATAATTAATTTGTAAGTGTTAGAAATAAGTAGTAATACTTAATAATTTCATACAGAAGAAAATCCGAGACTGATTGACCTGATTAAATGTTTTAGGATAACATTGGAAAGTCCATTTTATGTTTTTTATATAATCAATTATATCATGATTGCACATCATAAAAAAACTTTTTGAATTTGTGCGTGGAATTACAATTCAATTTTTGGGTATCAGTGATGTATGACTTAACGGATAAGTCGTATATGTGTCTAAAACAATTTTATAAGAACAAAGCCAAAATATAATTTCTTATATGAATGTATACAAAAACAATTATATGAAATAAATAAGCACATTATATATATAATGTGATAAATAAATAGAGGCAATATAAACAAACACCATCTGGTACACTGGTTCGTATTCGTGAAAGATATTGCGACCTATAAATTCACGAAAAAAAAACAAAATAAACGATATTAAAATTAAATGTAAATATAACTATTTTCAATCTCCAATCTTTAAAAGAAGATAAGTTCAATAAAAAATTCGGACAGACAGTTTGGTTAATAATATAAATAATCTTAAATCAAAAAATTAAAAAATGTTCCGAGGTGTGAACGTAGTTCAAATACCCTTCTAACATTTCTTCCAAGTCTGATTTGTAACAATATTTCTCATATTATTCCTTTAATCACGGACAATATATGTTACACAAAACCACAATACAAATTGACACCGAAAATAATTTTGGGTTCATAATAAAACATTTCGGTGACAGCAACAAAATTACTACACATACCAACTGAAGAGAAGCAAGAGTACCCGAAAGCTTCTTCGAAAATTTTTTTTCTATTCCTAGTTATTTATTCAATAAAACCAATCACCCTGATGGTGGTAAAGGTATTTTAGTACAAAGGGGGCTATAGCAGAATTTTCTAGATCTATATTCCCATAATTATATGCAAACCACATCAATATGCCTTAAGCAAAAAGCAAAAGAATTAACTTTGTCGGCAGTTTACTGCCCTCCTCGTTTCAACATTACTGAAACGCAATTTACGGTTTACTTCGTAACTCTAAGTGACCAATTTCTTACAGCAAAAAACTACAACGCCAAACACACGTATTGTAGTTTACGTCTTTGTAATCCAAAAGGTAAACAGCTTTTCTAAATAAATTCCATTCTAAATAAAAAAAATGCACTAGACGTAATCTCTCCTACGCAGTCAACATATTGGCCTGCAGATAACAACAACATACTAGACCTAATACACTTCGCCGTGTCCAAAGGCATAACCCGAAATTCTATCTCAACTTACAAAAGCTGCGATATGTCTTCTGACCTTTCTCCAATTACACTTTGTTTACTTGATGGTCCTCAGTTACATGACTGTTTCTATAGCCTTACAAGTCCTAGAACAAACTGTCTAAAAAAATAAAATGTTCATTAGTTTACACATACACACAAATTACAAGGCAAAGTGGAAATCTGATATTGAGGACGCAACTCGTTTTTTAACTCAATTCTGATTTCAGCAGTTGGAAACTCCACCCCTAAACACAAAAAAATTTACACATCCAAAAGTACATGCAAATAGTGACATATAACAAATAGTAAGAATTTAGTTTTACATGTAGGTCCCCTTCAGCGAAAACCTTTTTCAAGGATGCCTAAAGAAGATTTACAATTGCATTAAGCAGGGAGACCAAACCAATATAATTATATTCAAAATCTGTGTCCAAATGACAAAAAACATTAATTCTCCTTATTTCCCCATAGAATTCGATTCTCTAATAAGAAACATATTATGACAAGACTTTTTAATGCCATTATTAAATTTAGTTTTTACCCAACAGAGTAGAAAACATCCATGATTATGATTCAAAAATCAGGCAAAGATCCCACGATTGCCTCTTCATACAGCCCAATAAGCTTACTGCCATGCCTTTCTAAACTCTGGCCTTCCACAAGAAGTGTTCTTCCTTCACACATCTGATATTCCATAAGTGGTTCAGTTGTCGCTTTTTTTGAAACAAAAACGTTGTGTTAGCTTCAAACCAACTTCAATCTCACTTGTTCTGGACGGAGATATGGTTGTCAAAATGACGAATTAAAATGTAGACACGTCATTTTTACCTCAAATCAGAGTAAATCTTCAACAATTTTACTAAATAACGTTCCCATATCATAGGCAGATAATGTAACATACTTAGGTATTTACTTAGACAGGTGACTAACTTCGCACAAGCATATTGAAGTCAAAAAAAAAAATCAGATGAAGCTCCAAGCCTCTAAGTCGCTCTGGCTCATTAATAACAAATCCTCCCTGTGCCTAGAGTATAAAGTACTCTTGTATGACAGCATCATAAGACCAATATAGACTTATGCTACCCAGCTATTTGGTAATTCTAGTGCTTCAAATATTGAAATTATCCAAAGAGCTCAGTCAATTGGGAATGAAAACATCTACCGAGATCTATATTCGGAATGAAAACATCCACCGAGATCTACAATTTCCCTTGGTTAAAGCTGAATTTGACAATATGAGAAAAAAATGCAATAAATGACTGACAGAATATGTTAAACCCTTAGCTAGGAATCTCGAACTTCTATCTACTACTTCCCTTATAAAAGGAGCTGACCGTTCAGCCATTTATTAAAACTCAATAGCTTCAAGTAAAACTAAACTCTTCTTTTTAGTGATCTGATAACGCTCAATTATTTTCTTTATGAACCACCTAACATTATTTGAATGAAATGAAACCCATTCGTTTAAGTGAGCTCCGTAATATAAGGTCTACTTACATTATTTTATATTATATAATGTATAGTTAAAGTAAAAATTTTAATATTATGTATTTAGTAATAAGATTTTATAACTTATTCTTAATCTCATTGTAAAAGAAGATATAATAAATAAATAAGTATTAAAAATAAAATTGACAAGAAGATCATATACTACCAATACTAAACTTAATATAAATATTCTTCGCCCATCATTAACTAAAATCTAATAATAAAGTGTGTTAGAAGAAGCTTAAGGTGATAAGTTTCAACTAAAATAAAATCAAACTACAAAACTTTTGACAGATAGAAAACATTGTTAAATACAAAACTTTCATATACAAAAACGAATTATGTAAATGCTGTTTTCTTTCTTTGAAGGAAGATTAATCATTTCTGCAACGTAGGTTTAAAATATGTTAGAAATTTATTTTCTAGTTGATTTTTAGTCACAAACGCTACGAAATTTTTACAGCCACTCAACAGGCCAACATGATCCAATATAACCTATGATGACAATAAGAACCCATTCTAAATATAGCCCATGGCTTGTGTAATCTGTTTTAGGTGTAGTGAACGGCACTTAGTAGTCGGACTTAACGATTAGCTTCAGAAAAAATACCCAACCGTTATTAGAGCCTTCCCTCCAAAAAGGATTACTCGGTCCCTCTCTTCATATCATGGATATATCGACACCTATTGCAATGGAGGTCGATATTGCAATCAATATAAACGTGCATATCTACACAAATGCAGAATCTTCTTCGAGTGTGAAGTTACAATGCAACAAAGTTCTCAATAGGACATCTGTCAGGAAAAACGACACCTTCCCCGTGCAGCAATAACTGTCTTTTCTCAAGAACTGTCTTTTCTCAATTGAGCGATGTGCTAAACACCATTGTTATAATTGTCCACACGGAAGTGGCTAGGATTTACCGTCTTGATCCTGGTTCAAGAATCAATTAAATCCCACTCATTCTCCAATCTATTCCCACTTTCAAATAATCTCCTCTCCTCTACCCATCCACATAATAACCCATCTGTTATTATATCTATTTTGTAATTCCTTTTATGTTAACTGCTTGACAGATCCTTGTGAGTTACAACAACAACTTAACCGATGGCTACGTTAAGTACTCTTCGACAATCCAATTTGTCTGAATCTCAAAAAAAATTTTGAAAATTATAGTTGCCTTATTAACATAATGATATACATATGTATATTGTAGTTTTAAGACAGCGAGATACGTTTTTTTTTCTAATTAGGCCTAGTACTAACATCAATTCCACACAAAAAAACACATAAAAACCATATAAAAAATTGTTCCACAAAATTCTAACGTTCTACAAAATCTGTAGAGATGGAGATTTATGTCAATTTTCTGTCATGCGAAATAAATGCAAATACTAAACTTTAGCTATAAAAAAAAAGTACGGAAAAGAATATCACTGTGGTGAAAATGTAATATAATAACTTCGTTTGCTTTTTGCACATCTATAAGAAAATTTATATACGCATGAAAAAATACAAATACAAAATGCAACAAAGTAGGTACAAGAACAAAGGCTTGAAAATGTTACAAATTGGATATCCCTGCATTATGGGTACTTCGATGATTAAAATACTGCGTTACAAACGCATATAAACGCATTATGCACATATACTCGGAATGCCTACACATTAGCAATTGAGCACAAAAATCTACTTACTGAGTATTTAATTGAGTATTTACCGACCAACCCCCTTTTCTGTTAGCCCTATAACACACCAATTATGTATTAACACACACATATAAATTCATTAAACTATAATCCATAAAAACAGTAATACGTGGACAATGTGAATGGACTAATTTATTTAATTTTTTTTTTTTTTTTTTTGTTGGTTATTATAATTACTTTCGTCTTTTTGCTATTATACCCATTGCTGTAATTATGCTTAGCGACTTCAAATATACAACTGAGGTTCTTAACTTTTTAAAATTTTAAGTTACTTAATTAAAACTCCAATATCAAATAAATAATTTCTTTGCAAGTCTAAAAATAATGTCATTTCCCTTTTAATTATATTTTTTTATTCTATCGTTCTGCAGTTGATTGTGGAATAAGTCACTTATGTGTGTGAATAAAATTAATTCATGGCGTTATCAGTATTTTAAGGGGCAGAGGCTAGCTTTATATTTTGAGTGATTAAAGGCAGGGCGAGACGAGACGAGGCTAGGCGAGGCGAGATAGTATTGTATACGAAGAATAGAATAAAAATACACAAAGCAACAATAGCTGGTAAGCGAAATTGAATTTTAGTAAAACAGCACAACAATGTTAACTGGTGTGGAACACAGTATTCACATAGTTGCAGTGGTCAACACGAATAGGCAAAAAAAAAAACGTCTACGTAATAGAGCTTTAAAGCAAATTTTTTTTGTAGTCGCGAGACAACGTCGACGCAGCAATGCGACTCACATTTAATTTGCATATGTATATGTGTACATGTAATTAAATTTGGGTGGTCAAAATGAAGGATTCTAATTCTTTTCACTTTTTATTTGCTATACGTATATATTGTTTTGATATTTGAACACTTCTCACTACTTTTATTTAATATTATTTAAATCTTTTATAACTAAGTATATTTTATTCGCACTTTTTAACCGCAGCACTGCTTTATATTACTTGCAAAAATATTTGCATTTGTGTATCATCTTATCTTACTGGTACATAATAACGATTGATTTTCTCAAACCACTATTGTAGGCCTCTCTTTATTTAAAATTTTAGTTTAATATTTGGCTTTCCACTTAAGATTGTACACCGCCACTTAATTTTTTCCGATTCTTCACTTTTTCCAGGGAAAGCACTCATCTTGCAACCAAATTTATACTGACAACGTACGGACAGTTGTATGGCGATTTAAGGCCGCTCGCTTGACATTTTCGTGGTGTATTTTGTATATTTTGTAAGTAATGCATTTCGAGTGGCCATATTAAAAATACTTATTAGCTCCGAATTCTATACAATTTGTATTATGAATAAGTTCAGAGAAAAAGTTACCCATTCAAAATAATAGTTATTAAAAAACTTTTCAATAAAAAAGCGTAAAAGTCAAATTTAACTATTATTTATTGAATTTTATTTTAAAACTCGAATCATTTTTTCTTTAATGCTGAAAAAATTAATATTTATAAGAATAATTTTTTAGTGGAAGTGCGAGGTTTCTAAAAAAAACCCGCTAACCCATTGAAAATTCATATAATGTACAAAAAATGTTTAATTTGTAGATTAAATAGATAAAAATTTTTTTAGAATTATATATGGATATAGCAGTATATATAAAATGTTATGTACTTAATAACAGATTTCAAATATTATGTATAATAATGAATAATATCCTTTTATAAAAAATGTATTTACTTATCGAAACAAAAAAAATTAATATATAACTGGTATGACAGTTTAAATTTACGACTTCACTGAAAAAGCATTCAGATTGTATTTGAGATTTTCAAAAATACCTTCTCAATCATCAAGGTTGAGAGCATCACCAAAAAATAAAGTTTACGTTGAAACGTAATTGACCAAGTAGCCTAATATAACATATTCATAATTATATTGACTCAAAAAATTAAATATTTTAATAATGAAATTTAATACAATCAAATAAAATTATTTCCTGCAACCGAACTACATTCAATTATAATATTCATTGCAAAAACTAAAAGCAACAAAAAGAGTCAAAAAATGGTATGTGCATCACATTTTCAGAGTATAGGTAACGACTAATACGGCGTTTACATTGTGAGATTAGAAGTAGATTGAAGCAGTAATCGAGATTAAAATACTAATCTCGTTGTTGATGATTGATGATGATTTTTCTGTGCAACTCTACAAATGGCTTAATATCGTAGATTTTTTTACGATTCTAGAAAAATTGGAAAACAAACGTCTAAATCTATTTAAAATATACTTTGAAAATTTGAAAATGCCGAAATGAGTAAAATTTTAATAATTTTGTTTAATAATAGTTTTGTACATAATTATAACATATAACATAATTATAAAATTTGTTCAATTATTGTTATGAAACTATTTATTGAATTTATATTACAATTTGTTTTGTATAAAATTGTATTTAAATTTTTTTACAGAAATTTATTAAACATACGCAACATAACAAAACAAGAGAAAAGTCAAAAATTATCTCTAATGTATAATGTAAACGGTCGAGATTAAAAATGCAGATTAACTTAATCTCGTTCTCTTAATCTCACAATCTAAACATAGTATAATAATAAGTAGGGTAAATTTCAATAAAATACAATAAATAATAAAATTGAGCATATATGTGTGGTGAACCTAAGCGCCTATCTCATGCAAAATTGGTTACAAAAATCTTTAGCCTAAATACACCTCTGGTCTTCAATTCACCACGAGAGACTTCTGTTCTGTTCACGACTGTCAAATTGTCGTTATTTTCTCTTATAAATAAGGAGCTTGTGTTTGTGTATTGTGGCTGAGTTGCTAATATATTTTTTATTTTTTAAATATTTTTAAATATAGAGGCTTAAAAAAGGAAGGAAAAAAATGAATAACTTAGCACCTAAAAAAGATGGAAGTCCAAATGTTGAATTCTTTCAATCAAGTGAAATTCTACAAGGCTTTGAGTCTATAAGATTGTGGTTGCAAAAAAACTCGAAGAAAGTAAGTACAACAACGCTGTATACTGCAAAACAAAAATGGCGCTCCTGTCTTCAGAATTTTTGTATTAAATTTATTATTATTTTTATTTAGTATTTGGCAAATAGTCCAGATCCAATTACGAAGGAGTCATTGGCGCAGTTAATAATTCAGTTTTTGATTTATGTTGAAGCTAAGTTGGGCAAAAATGCACAAGAGCCGCAAACGACAAGAATTCCGGTAGGTAGGCAATTGTTAGTTTTAATATACATATTTACATATGTATATCAAGACAAAATGCAAAATGTGTACTGAAAGCATAAAATGAAATGTAAAACTAAAACTATTTAAAATTTTTGTAATATAAAGTGTGCCTTTTACTATACATTTTTAGATGCGTTGCTTTCTTGATTTTAAGCCAGGCGGTGGATTGTGTGTTATACTTTCTACAATGTTTCGTTTTCGTGCAGAACAGCGTGGCAGGAAATTTGATTTTACAGTAGGAAAGAATCCAGCTCGTAAGGATCCTAATATTCAGTTATTGATTGACATAGAACAGGCATTAGTGGAGGCTGATCTCTACCGCATACCGTACATTTATTTACGTCCAGAAATTGATAAAACATTTGCATCACGCTTACGAGAAATTCTTGGTACACGTCGTGTTGAAATAGTAATGGACGAAGAGGACGCTACACACATTATATATCCTGTTGTTGATCCCCATCCCGAAGAATACGCGAGACCCATTTTTAAACGTGGCAATCATGTCATGTTACACTGGTATTATTTTCCAGAATCATATGATTCTTGGACGATAAATACATTTGAATTACCTGAAAACGTACCAGAAAATCCTGAATCTCCACTTGATCGCTGGCGTGTTTCAGCTTCATGGATAACAGACTTAGAACAATACAATGAATGGATGGCTGAAGAAGACTATGAGGTTGACGAAACTGGAAAGAAAAAAACACATAAACAACGTTTATCAATAGATGACATAATGTCATTTGGTAACGATGATAAAAAGAAGTCTAATGCCAGTTCGGTACCAAAGCAAAAGCGCAGAAGATCACCTTCACCAAGTTCGTCAAAGCCAGGAAAACGTAAGCGTTCCCCTGCAGTAATGCCAAAAAAATTACGTAATGACGAAGATGATGAAGACTTAACTCGAGATATGGAAGACCCACCATCAGAACCAAATATCCAAGAAGTAGTTAAAGCAACACCTTTACAAACCACTTCTAGCCCTGCGCCAGGAGGGAAATCACGGGCCGATAATGATATGTTACCAATTAAAGGTAAGTTGAAATATATTTCAATATTGAATTTTAGTTTGAATTAAATGCTTTTAGGAGGAACTGTTACCGATTTAGATGATGAAATGACCGGCGGTAGTGCTGTTCAGACACTTTCAACGGGAGATGGAGAAAACTCACAAACTGGTAAGACAAGCGATAACAGCAATACACAGGAATTTTCATCATCAGTTAAAGAAGATATGGAAGATAATGTAACAGAACAAACTCATCATATTATTGTACCATCTTATTCCGCATGGTTTGACTATAATTCAATACATGTTATTGAGAAACGTGCAATGCCAGAATTCTTTAATAGCAAAAATAAATCAAAAACACCAGAGATCTATATGGCATATAGGAATTTTATGATCGATACTTACAGGTCTTAAAATTAATTTATTATATATATTTTGTTTTTATTTCATTACTTTTATATAAATCTACTAGGTTAAATCCTACAGAGTATCTGACCAGCACTGCTTGTCGTCGAAATTTGGCAGGTGATGTTTGTGCTATAATGCGAGTACATGCATTTCTTGAGCAATGGGGGCTTATTAATTATCAAATCGACGCTGAACTACGTCCAACGCCTATGGGCCCTCCTCCAACATCACATTTTCATATACTTTCCGATACTCCATCTGGTTTACAATCAATTAATCCTCAAAAAACTCAACAACCGTCTGCTGCAAAAGTCTTGCTTGATTTGGACAAGAAACCTATAATAAAAGATGGCAAAGAAGGTTCTGTTGAAGCTGATAAACCAACCACTGGTATTACGATTAAAACCGAAGCTCTGGAAAATGGAAGTACACCACAAAGTTGTAGTCAATTTGGATTAAAATTAGATCAATACGCTAAGAAACCTGCAGCTATGAAAAATCGTACCGCTGCAAGCATGTCTCGCGAATGGACAGATCAGGAAACATTACTTTTACTCGAAGGTTTGGAAATGCACAAAGATGATTGGAACAAAGTTTGCGAACATGTTGGCACACGCACTCAAGATGAATGTATTCTGCATTTCTTACGTTTACCAATTGAAGATCCATATTTAGAAGATGACGGTGGTTTCTTAGGTCCTCTCGGTTGTCAACCCATACCATTCAGTAAATCTGGTAATCCCATAATGTCAACAGTTGCATTTTTGGCTTCCGTTGTTGATCCCAGAGTAGCTGCAGCCGCTGCTAAGGCTGCTATGGAAGAATTTGCTGCCATTAAGGTAAATGCTTATGCATATGCTTATGCTCATGCTTTTTTTGTTATTAAACTTACATTTCATTTTACTAAGGATGAAGTACCCGCTACAATTATGGATAACCATATGAAAAATGTAGAGAAAGCTTCTGCTGGTGGTAAGTTTAATCCTACATTTGGTTTAGCAAATAGTGGAATTGCTGGCACAGGAACTGATAAAGAAGATGAAGATCCGAATACACCAGCTGTTACTACACCATCAGATGAAGAGATGAAGGACTCGTCTAAGAAAGAAGGTAAAAAATTAATTTTATACTTTTCTATATTAATTTTGCTTTACTTTGCTTTTTAATTTTTTATACTTAAAATTGAACCTAACTAAATTTGGCAATTAAACTATTCTGTTTTAAATTATTTCTTCCATATTTGCTTTATGTTCCCAACAATCTTTTATTTTCCTTCCATTCCTGATTTGTTTCGCATGCCACACAGAAGAAAACAAATCAAAATCGACAGATGATAATTCAGAAAAAACAGACAAACCAGATTCTGAAACTGATAAGAAAACTGATGATAACCAAAGTAATGGTCATTATAAACTTTCATTGAAATTAAAATAAATAATTTTTTTTAATATTTAACAGATGCAGAAGGGAAGGAGATTAGGACGGAAGAAATATGTGATGGCGAGAATAGCAACGCAGTAAATAAAGATTGTGAGGATAGTAAACAAGTTTTTAATGAAAATAATGTGCAAACAGCAGCTGCAGCAGCACTTGCTTCTGCAGCTGTGAAAGCAAAACACTTGGCAGCTTTAGAAGAGAGAAAAATAAAATCACTTGTAGCTCTCCTTGTGGAAACACAAATGAAAAAATTGGAAATAAAGCTGCGTCATTTCGAAGAATTAGAAACAACCATGGAACGTGAACGGGAAGGTTTAGAATACCAGCGGCAACAACTAATAACCGAACGGCAACAGTTTCACTTAGAACAACTTAAAGCAGCTGAATTTCGTGCTAGACAGCAAGCCCATCATCGTTTACAGCAGGAACAGCAATGGCAAGGTGCTGCCGGTGGCCCTCCCGGTAATAGCGGTAATCAACCTAGTGGGCAAACTGGTCAATTTTTACCGACTGGAGGACCTGCATCAAGTAGTGCGCATTCCAGTTCAATCGGATCAAACTCACAATGTCCATCAACACACAATTCAAATGTAACTGGGCCGCAACATCCACCAGTGCCAATGGGTAAATATTGTATTCCATTCCCTAACAAAATTACAACTTGATTTATTTTAGAAACAATGCCTACATCCGGCAATCAAAGTACTTCTAATCAAACAGAAAATTCAACTATATCACCAACATCAGGACAACAGCTTCTTTCTACTAATACATCAGGGGCAACAGTCCCATCTGCTCCTACTGGTCAATCACTAAATGCACCACTAGGCGTACCTCCAACTGGTGCTCCTACAGCTTGAGATGTTTATGGTTTAGATAAATTTAGAAATTTAGAAATTAAGAATTGACAGGAAAATTTAATATGTCATTCCTTTGTTCTCCTCTTATTAAATTAAGAAATATTAGGGGCACAAATATAATCTCATTTCGTCATTGGAATGCTTTGAGCTCTTCGCCTCCCTCATTTCATCTTTATTGAGTAGCTCGATATAAGACAATATATACTTTATCAGTCTAATCTCATTTCGTCATTGGAATGCTTTGAGCTCTTCGCCTCCCTCATTTTATCTTTATTGAGTAGCTCGATATAAGACAATATATACTTTATCAGTCTTTTATCACAGCATTATAAAATTATATTATACTAACTTTAAATGCAACTTAATAAAGTATAAAATTTACTTATATATTAACTTACATATATTATCTTTAAAATTAAATATTATGAAAAAGGGTGTTCTAAGTGTTCTAAATGACTGATTGATCGTTGATATATGATGGCCTATTACGAAAAAGATATGGGAGTTAGAAAGTATACCTGACAGCTGGAATGAAGCGTTACTCGTAAAAATACCTAAGAAAGGAGATGTAAATAATTGCATAAATTTCAGACGAATAAGCTTTTTACCGATCCCGAGTAAGATTTTCACAGCAATTATACAAAATAGAATTTCCATCAACATGGCCTCCGTAAGAATAGATGATGCGTTGATCTAATAAATACAATTCGTATTATCTTTAGACAGTTATGTGAATTTAGAGCTACAATCTATGTGGCCTTCTTAGATTTCAAAAAGCATTTCAGTTTAAACCGCCCATACATTTGAGCAGCATTCCGCAAAAAATTATAAACCTTCTAAAGAAGCTGTACAAGAATACTAAGAGTCGCGTAATCCACAAAAACCAGCTCTCTTAGTGTTTTGATATTTGTGTAATCTTAAAGAGGGCAATCTGACTGGACAAGATGAATAGAAGATTAGCTTTCTCCATTCCATTCGAAGTGGTCATCAGTGACCAAACAATTTGGAGAAACAAAGAAATTATCTTAAACAGGACTCTCAATTATGGTATACTGATGGGTCCAAAATGGAAGATGGCAGTGCAGGAGCAGGAATTATGGGACCGAAATTCCGCAAAGCAATCGCAATGGGAAAAACTGCTTCCATTTTTCAAGCAGAGGTCCATGCCTTAGAGCTATGTGCGAGAGAATGCCTACGCAGGTGCACCCGAGGTACCAAAATATGCATTCTTTCAGACAGCCAAGCAGCTCTAAAACCTTTACCAAAATCTTCATTCCAAACAAATTTGGTCTGGGAATGCCTTTAACTTCTCAATACCCTAGCTTCGAGGAACTATGTTACTCTACCGGGACCTGTGGATACCGCGACCTTTAGTGCATAAGAGCAATGAAATAGCAGATTCCTTAGCAAAGAAGGGTGCATGTACTCCTTTCATTGGTCCAGAGCCCTTCTGCGGGGTAACAAACAGTTTCACAAATAACTTATTAAGTGAACAAAAGAAACAACATCTACTTGAACACTGGAGAGCCCAAACAGGCATGCGACAGTCAAGAAGTTTCATTGATACATACACTGAACTTCTTACAGGACATTCATAGCCTATTATTTAATTAAAAAAGTCTTGATATCAAAACAGCTGTTTGAGTGTCTACAAGATCTAAAATTCGTCGATGATATCCTACTATTAAGTCACTGACTTGATGAATTACTGCAGACAAATATTCGTCTACAAGATCTAAAATTCGTCGATGATATCCTGCTATTAAGTCACTGGCTTGATGAATTACTGCAGACGAATATTCGCCATATTTAAAGATAAGTACTGAAAAAACAAAAAGCACTGCGAGCGGATACAGCGCAATTCAAAATGTAAGGTTGCATGTAAATGGTGAAAAAGAAACTGATTGTGTGTGAACTCTTTTACCTACCTGAAGAAATTGATGATCGGATCAACATGGCGAAAGCCATGTTTGGCAAATTTAACAGCTTATGGCAATCCAGTGAACTCAGGAGGCAGAACAAATTGTAAATCTTTAACACAAATGTTAAAGAGAAAGATACAAGTGTTTGTCAACAAGTGTCTTCATATACTCTCAAAATATGGTGGCCAGATCTAATATCAAATGAACTCCTGCTGAACCAAACCAAAGTGAAAGTGGATAGGCCATACGCATAGAGAACCGAAAGATTACATAGCAAGACAAGCGTTGGCATGGAATCTACAAGGTAGCAGAAAACCTAGGTCGTTAGCGAAAACGTGGAGACAAACGGTCGAAAGTGAGTTAGCTGAAGTAAGATATACATGGAATGACATCTATAGAGAAGCACCAAATGGAGTCAGATTTAGAAGAATTATTGAAACCGTATGCCACATTGGACAATGGTAGTGGTAGTAATTGACTAATGAAATTGCCCGTCTTTTAAAAGGATTTTATCTAAATTCATGTGTATACAAATTTTTATACCAATTGACCTGTAATTCCAACCTCTAACAAATAATATGGGTTAAATTTATTCTCTTACCCAATTTTTTTAAATTTATATCAGAAACTTTTCTAATATATAGAAGAGTTGAAAAATTTTAAAAATTAAAAAGTGCGAATTTTTTGATAAAACTAGTATTTTTCTTTTAAAAAGTCTCTCACAACATCAAAACAATTATTCCAACAATTCTTCAATAATTTTATGCCGTCACTGTAATAACTTTAGGAAAGCTCTGGAAAATACTGTTCCATGGTTGCAAAGGATTCTTCGATGGAGAACGCTTTCCCTAAAGGAATTGCTTCGAAATTTTGAAGAAGTAAAAGTCAGAGCGAGCAAACGTTCTTGTTTCAGTTTAGGATCATGATGGTGGATCCAGATCTCTTCGATAGTTATAAAATAATGCACAAAATCAGTTTGTTATACATTAAGAACTTAGACCAAGTTGTTTGTTAGCTTGACTCGAACTGAATTTAAAGAATCAAGCAAAAGCTAACCAAATCAATTATGCAGAGATTTGCATTCTTAAGATAACTGTGGTAGTGGTTGTCGTATGTAAGTTGATTCCTATAGGAGGAACCATAAGCGCAACATTGTTCATAAAGAAAACAAAGAATACTGTGTGTAGCTTAACTACAGTGATCATAGCTGAATCAGCATAAACAGTAAGTTAGCTTCAATGCACTTGAAATAGTGTAAACAGGAAGCGTTACTTTGTGTGTAGGACAAATTCCTAAACAAAAACTGTGATATTGCGCTTTATAGATTGGTATAACACATTCACCATTTTTGTATGAATTTATGCTGCTGATAAAACTTTCAAAACATAGAACTTTATCACTGCCGAGCAAATCAAATATAGCGGATTTTTCCATTGTGACAAAATCACCGACACGCCAGCTTTAAACGACTAGTTAAAAAAACAATACGTTAGATCCAAATAAACTTCTTAGTGTGTTTAAATGATATATGAAATGTCAAAATGGCGTATAAATATTGATTCTTCTACTGGTTAATAGATGGCACTTTCAAAACTTTTCAACCAACATGTACCTTCTATATAAAAAATTGTTACCAGAGAATAAAATGTATGTTTACTTAAGATGGTATATACGGATTTAAAATATAAAATCAAAATCATTACTTCTTACTTTTATATTAACATAATGTTCTTGCCAAATTAATATAATGCAATGCTTTTGAATGCAACCTTGCGGTGATCTACGGATTATTTTAAAATTTTATGCACGCGAAATTATTTGTTAATCGAATTTTGCTCAGTTCGGAGTTATTTGGTGTTGTTTTGTGCCGGCGACGTCTTTTTTATTTTATTGCAGCTTTTATCTTTTAATAAATTTCATTGTCGAAATGTCTGCTACAATTGGCAAAGTAAGTTCATATGTATACGTGTTAATAGATTTAAATAGATTATATGGAAATTATTTGTGCAAAGCATAAAGAGAGTGTGTTTTATACTTATGTGTCCTAAAGGTCATCACTTGCAAAGCTGCTGTTGCATGGGAGCCTAAAAAACCACTTGTCATTGAAGAAATTCAAGTAGCACCTCCAAAAGCACATGAAGTACGCATTAAAATTTATGCCACCGGCGTATGCCACACAGACGCTTATACTTTAGGAGGCCTCGACTCTGAGGGAGTATTTCCCGTTATACTTGGTCATGAAGGTGCAGGCGTTGTTGAAAGTGTAGGAGAAGGTGTAACTGGCTTCAAGCCCGGCGATAGCGTTATACCTTTGTACATTCCGCAATGCAATGAATGCAAATTTTGTAAGAGCAGTAAAACAAATTTGTGCCAAAAGATTCGTCTAACTCAAGGTAAAGGAGTTATGCCTGATGGTACAACACGTTTCTCTTGCAACGGTAAAGAAGTATTTCATTTTATGGGTACATCAACATTTTCAGAATATACCGTAGTTGCAGATATTTCACTTTGCAAGGTTTGCGCTTCTGACTAGTGTTGCCATTCATTGTGCTATTGTGTAATATTTGTGAATTTTCAGATTGATGACAATGCTGCTTTGGATAAAGTATGCTTGTTAGGGTGTGGCATTCCAACTGGATATGGTGCTGCTATTAACACGGCAAAGGTAAAACAACAAATTTTAGGTGTTTGAAACAAATTTTATGTAATTGAATTTAAATTGAAAATAAGGTCGACCCTGGTAGTGTATGTGCCGTTTGGGGGCTCGGTGCTGTTGGCCTAGCAGTTGGTATGGGTTGCAAAAAAGCTGGTGCTTCTAAAGTTTATGGAATTGATATAAACCCGTCTAAATTTGAACTAGCCAGAAAGTTTGGTTTCACAGACTTCGTCAACCCAAAGGATGTTGAAGATAAAGGCGCTTTGCAGGATTATCTTATACAATTAACTGATGGCGGTTTTGATTATACATTCGAATGCATTGGGAACGTTAACACAATGCGAGCAGCTCTGGAAGCTACCCATAAGGGTTGGGGCACATCCGTTATTATTGGTGTAGCCGCATCGGGTCAGGAAATAAGCACACGACCATTTCAATTAGTTGTCGGACGAACATGGAAAGGCACAGCATTTGGTGGCTGGAAAAGTGTTTCTGGCGTACCAAAGCTAGTTGACGAATATATTAAAAAGGAATTAATGGTTGATGAATTTATTACACATACTATGGATTTAAATAAAATCAACGAAGCTTTTGATTTAATGCATGAAGGCAAAAGCATACGCAGTGTAATTAAATTTTAATGCGATCTTTTTTGAAAAAAAAACTTATGTTTGAAATACTTTTGATATGTTTATATATTTATACTACAAAAACTATTTTAAATCTTTATAAATAAATTGTTACACTTAAATATACATATAACGATTACATCTTTTTTGTAGTTGAAGTATTTTCTATATTAAATAAGTTTATGAAATTTATTGTATGTTATGCCATGGGACCTTATCATATCAGCATATAAAAATTAAAATGAATTGAATTACATACTTAGACATCATAATCAGTACTTTCTTGATATATAATAAAGTAAGAGTAAAGTAATTTTCGTTTTTTTTTTTTTTTGTTATTATTATCATAAATTCTTTGATTTGATTTCATTAAAGATAAGACCACAACTTGTTAAATACTAAAGAACCAGTTTTTAACTGTATTGTTTGAAAATTTATCGCGATGTTAAGGTGAGTCTTAAGTTGATATTATATTATGTAATTTATTCGACAGTTGTGCTAAGATATGGGGCAAACAGTTAATAATGCTAGTAACAAGTCCTTTTTTTCTCAAAGAATTACAGCTACCGCCAGCAAAAAAATAGTAAGTAGTACTTTCGGAATCACAACTTTAAAGTCCAAGTCGAATAAAGATTGTGTGACTTTAGTATTGCTTGCTTCTCCTCATTTCAAATGCTTCTTATACCAGATTATTGGTCTTATAAGCAAATGTTTTTGATGGGTCGTTATTAAGAATTGCATTTTCTAGGTCTCAAAGTACACCTGTTCGAAATTATATATATATATATATATATTGCCCCATAAATACCGTTACAAAGTTCTTGTTTTAGGTTAGAGATCTATGTTCATTATATATTTGCTTAAACACATTAATTAGAAATGTTATATGTAACATTTAATACATATGTATGATATGTGTTAAATGCTGTTTCAATCACTTCTTATTTTATTTTTATATATGCTTAAATAAGTTTTATGTACAATAAATAAAAACAATACTATATTTTGTTTGAAAAGAATACACTTTATTGAATTACCTAATAATTATTGTTACATTTATCAATAAATGACTTTTAATTTATAGGTACCTAGGAATCTAAGTTCACCAAGATCATCAAAAAAGAAAGCCCCTAAAGTGTAAAGACGACGCCGCGCATCTGCCGGAAAGAAACAGAGCATATGGGAGACACTTTCACCGTCCTCACCAAAACTGAGACAGTTATGGTTGAAAGGGAAATTTAGTCTCAGCATGGTTACCTAAAATACAAAGACCTGTAAGTAAACCTTTTACAAGACTGATATCTCTACGGGCATCTCAATGAGAGAGTTTGATATTCATCTATTGGAGCGTGGCAAAATTGCATACAGATACCTGAATATCGTTGAGTTTTCCCATCTTTTATTTAAAAGTTCGGCACAGGAATAACTTATTAACAGCTTACATGATATGCCCAGATTATTTAGCTGTTTCAAGCGGTTTCCCGAAACACCCTAATTTCGTTCAGTTGGTGTTTGATAGCCGTTCAAAGCAGACAACCTCGTGAATTTTTACGAAAATGGAAACAAGTGAATTTCGTGTGCTGATTAAGCATTACTTTTTACGTAAAAAATCCATCACTGAAACTAAGGAAAGACTTGATAAATACTACGGACACTCGGCACCATCAATTTCAATGGTTAAGAAGTGGTTTACAGAGTTCCGTTGTGATCGTACCAGCACTAGTGACGCCGAACGTTTAGGTAGTCCAAATAAGTGATCACACCAGAAATCGTCAATAAAATACATAAAATGATATTTGATGATTTTACACGAATATTTGGACATGAAAAAACTTTCCGCGAGAGGGGTGCCGCGATTGCTCACACTCGACCATAAGCGCAATCGTGTGACCACTTCAAAAGAGTGTTCAGCGATGTTCAGCTGTAATCCGAACAAATTTTTGCCCTGTTTTGTTACTGTGGACGAAACATGGATCCATCACAACACGCCAGAAACCAAGGAACAATCAAAACAGTGGGTTGCTAGGGGTGAACGTGGACCAAAGAAGCCCAAACAGAATCTGTCAGCCAACAAGATTATGGCCCCAGTTTTTTGGGATGCAAGTGGTGTCATTCACATCGATTACCTCGAGAAAGGTAAAATATGATCACCAGCGAATATTATTCAAAGCTTTTGAACAGATTCCACGTTGATTTGAAGCAAAAACAGCCGCATTTGGCGAAGAAGAGAGTGCTGTTACATCAAGACAATGCACTTGTGCACACTTGTCTAGTCACGATGGCTGAAATCCACGAATTGGGATACGAACTGCTACCCCATCCAGCATATTCTCCGGATTTAGCCCCCTGCGACTATTTTCTGTTTCCAAACCTAAAGAAATGGCTGGGCGGTAAGAGATTTGAGTTGAATGAAAGGTTTGAGGAAACCTATTATTTGGAGGGAATAAGAAAATTAGAAAAACGCTGGACTAAATGTATCTTGCTAAAAGGTGATTATGTAGAAAAATAAAATGTTTATTTGCCGAAAAAAATTGAAAAAAATACGCCATAGTAACTTTCTTTATTTGTGAATTTGTAAGTTCTAAGTATTTTTGATATAATTAAACAATCCCTGTTGCCTTTTTACAATTAAGTTCATATTTACAACTTAATATATAAATGATAGAGTTGTGATCCTAAATATTTCGAGTACAAAAACATTTATGGACGAAATCGTGTCCTATAGGGTTATAATTGGCTTGAAAGACTTAATTTAAGTGTTATGCAAACATATTAGCTTGTTCTTTTTTTATAAATTGTTGCTGTAGCCGTTATTGATGTCTTTGCATGCACCTAAAGCAATTTTTCAAACTTTAGATAATAATAAATAGTTCATTAATATATTTTTTCTTCAAAGTTATTTTAAGAAGCAATATTTATATAAATAATATATATTTTTTCTTCAAAGTTATAATAAGAATCTGGAGCATTCTATTCTATTTACGATTTGTTAGATTTAACGCAAAGATAAATTTAATTCTAGGATTATGATATTAAGCTTTTAGCTTTTTGAGATAAAGCGAGTTGATACGCTTCATATGTAAAAACGAAATCTTATATGAAGAAAGTTTTTGACAAAACATACAGGCTTATCCAGTGATTTAGCAATCCGATCAATCAAATAGAAATTGGTAATATTAAAACTATCACCGTTCTTTGGGGGTTTAGCAGAATACCGCCTTTTTATTCTTTTTAGTAACTTGCCTAAATTGATATTTTGCACTTCTCCACAACACGTAAATAAAAATATAATATAAATATGATTTTCCCCGTCTGTAACAAAGTCATTCAACACTTCTAGATGTACCGGGAAGAGGAAGTTTCAATTATGAATGGGAGTTTGGAAAATGTGTAATCTGTGCGCGAGAAATAAATTGTAGATTCATATAATAGAAACTTTGTTCATCTAAGCCGTCAATGAGAATGAGAAAAAAGCAAGCTGCGTTCTTCAAAACGTCATTCAACACTTCTAGATGTACCGGGAAGAGGAAGTTTCAATTATGAATGGGAGTTTGGAAAATGTGTAATCTGTGCGCGAGAAATAAATTGTAGATTCATATAATAGAAACTTTGTTCATCTAAGCCGTCAATGAGAATGAGAAAAAAGCAAGCTGCGTTCTTCAAAAAAACAACGGTAACATAAAAGCGATAGTTTCAGAAAAAGAAATTGCAAAGAAGGCGAAAGAAGTTGTACATATATAAATAAAATATATGTACTATATATAACAAATATCTTTATGGGAAAGTGTAAATTCGAAGCTTGTTCAAAAAAGAGGTCTCTTTCTTTCTTCAAAAAAGGCGTCCACCTTAAAAAGTAGTACAAATGTAGTATAAAAATTTTAAAATATCAATACTTAAGGGAAAAAGAACTTATTCTGCATTCTTAATGTCTAACTGCTTATTCCATCCTTCTTCTAAGAGTAATTTTTACTCACATATATATATATTTTTAGTATAATTTATTTTATTTCCTCTACTGAACGTACATATTATGAATGACAATACTGTAATAAGTAATTTTTGTATCCCGATTTAGGACTTTATTTTGGTGTTTTTTTAGAGACTTCAATAGCACTAGTCTTATTTTGTATTAGTATTGGGAACCTTTACTACATTAACATTGTAGATCTGTTTATATCTATATCGTACGACTCATTGCACTCGCTTTGTTCTGATACAGAATGCCAAGGATATATTTCTGTTTTTAATATACAAATTAATATATAATTAATTTTCGATCTGTTGCAAACAGTTGTTTTCTAATCGAACTTTAAAACTAGATACGTTATCCATATTTCAAAAAAAATCACAATTTTGGTAGATTGTATGAATAATAATAAATAAATTTATGCGTTTTTGTATTCGGATAATCCATTTTTGATATATTTGCAGCTTTTGGACTCAACGATTCTGTTAAATAACTTATTAACAGGGATAGGTTAATATTAAAAATGGAGTCTATCTCATATAGTGGCGACATATTAACTATTATAATCTATACAATACACTCCAAAAACATCACAATGTTTGTAGATTGTATGAATAATTATAAATTAATTTACGCGTTTTTGTATTCGGATAATCCTTTTTTGATATATTTGCAGATTTTGGACTCAACGATTCTTTTAGATAACTTATTAACAGAGATACGTGAATATTAAAAATGGACTCTATCCTATATAGTGGCGATATATTAACTAATATAATTTATATAATACACTGCAAAGCCATTATGAAAAAAATATTTTTTAATGAATCCCCTTCACACAATTTTGGCTACGTCACTGTTTTTGTTTCTTGGGTTAACGAATTCTTTCAAGAATTAATAGGACGTTTTCAGGAAACCGTAAACACCGTATTTATAGTATTTTTTAATATAAATGCAATATAATTTTGTATAATAATATTTTTATGTATTTTAATTTGTATGTATTAATTTTATGTATTTTAATTTGTATTTTTTAAGAATCACATGATTTTAATTGAAATGCTCATAAAGTTTTTTATAAAAAGCATACAAATGCAGTCATAACAAAATATTTTCTTTAAAATGGACATACCCAGTGTCCATTACTGATAATAGCGTATTAATCGAATTAACAGCTTTTCTATTTTTCTATTCTATTTACTTTCTTATTAAGTATTTGCTAAATAACTCAACTTTTTTACTTTTATAAACGCTTCTTCTATATTTTTTTTTTATAATAATTATTTTTTTCCTAATTGCGCAAAAATGACGCGATATAATGATCTGCAACAGAACTTT